TATCTGGTATTTGAATAAATCAAGGAAATTATCTAGTATTTTTTGTTGTTGCTTAGATGGGTGGACGAGCTCACAGCTCACTTGGTGTTAAGTGGTTACTGGACCCATAGATATCTACAACGTAAATGCGCCACCAAACTCGAGATATAAGTTCCACGGTCTCAGTATAGTTACAACGGCTACCCCACCGTTCGAACCGAAACGCATTACTGCTTCATGAGTAGCATTTACCATTAATGTCAACAAAGCAGATGATCAAATTCCTATTACGTTCCACGAGTATTACAATATTTAGGACCATTACTTCTTTCTTCAGTACAGAATTCACTTGCTCTAGTTAAAGAATATGCAAGAATATCTTATTGAGACTTGAAACTTATGTCTCCGCATAGGTTGCGGTAATTACGCGCTGCTGTCTATGGGCACTCGCTTCACCAGTAATGAAGTTACTATTTGATGATTTGATCATCTGTGACTACGTATATGTAGTTGAATAAATCGGCCCAATATTTGAGCTCCCACAATAATCGATAAGAGTTCGCTACGTTTCACGTTTTAAAAGAACTCGGATGCTTCATATTTGTACACGAGGAATCTTTTTACCAAAACAAAGAACGAAAATGGAAAGAAAACCCTAACTTCGGTAACCCTTTTTTTGGATTGAAATATGTTTTTTAATATAAATTTTTCATTCCGAACCTTGGTATTTAGTCACAATACAAAATCGGGCACTATCTGAAAAAATATGGGATCTTTGTAACGAGCAACACAACTAAAACCGATTATTATCACATATTAAAAATCCTTTTCGCCCACATTTTGGATAATTTGCGCATTTCCTCACGATACCCTAATAACGCGAACAAAGAAACAACTACCTATCCTTCCGCCCTTAGAAACATCACGCATATCCCTTCACAAACAAAATAAAAAATCGTAATACCGGTTCATTGTGGGCTTTGTCGCAGGTAGACGTTGGCTCGGACAAAAAATTGGACTAAGCGTGATCGCACTAAACAGTCTAAGGATCAGCAGATGCTGATATAACTACGAATAATGCCCATGATACGGCTGTCAATCAAAAATAAATCGTGCCTGATTTATTTGGCAAATCTTTCATATTGTATATTTAAATAGTTACACGAACCAATAAATTTTGAACAAGGAAAATGTTTTTTTGTTAAAGTGATTTGTAATAAAATCAAATAAATATTCAATAGTAAATTTCACAATGATTGTATTATTTGTTAGTTGCCTTAAAGTTACCAAATAGGTTTTCTAGTTGTAAATCGGTTTGAGTAAAGTAATTGATTAATGTTGATTCAAACTTATGCTAGATGTATGTACCTTCAAAATGCATCGGTTTTCGATTAGCTAATTAAGACATAATTCATTATAATTATTTAATTGTATCAACTTTAATAAATGAATAAGTAGTTTAAGATAAATGCAAAAGTACTTTCAGTTGTCTTTTTTTAAGGACATTTCACTGATGGCGTGTCGCAAGTCCGCACTGTTGCTACCACCATTCTATCCTTTTTCTGCGCCAATATAATTATAGTTGTTTCGAAATTATAAATGTAATGTAGGTTACACCTCAGGACTTATTTAGTATTCTATGTTGCATAAATATAATTAGAAATAGAGTTGGGAATGCAGTTGTTAAGGTATTAATATGTTGCAAGAATGAATGAATAGCCAATATCTAACATTCCAGCATAGAAATCAACTTAAGATTATAAGGTAATGTTGGTTAATGTTGTCGGTCAGGTTTCAACAAAAGGTCGGATTAAAGTGATTATAATCGTGGAAGGTAACCGCATATATGTTTGTTTCATAAATTACAATTTATATATATTAATTATTTGCGTTTTTCAATAGTTCCAGAATCATGTCGATTTCTTTGTTTTTTGTCTTTTATGAACTAAAAAAAACGAGTTTTGGTTTAAGACTAAATATTACTATTACTATACAAATTGTCATTCAATTTAGACTTTGATCCCATTTCTTGAGGTGGATGCTAAACACCCAAATTGCATTGCCTCTATGAGTGTTTGAAACACTAGACGGCTTATGGAAGTATATTACGAAGAATGATGTACTACGTAGTACGCTATATAAGTTTATACCATAAAACACATTACTTACAAGACCCAAATTAAATTAAGATACATTAATATGTACCAGTAAAACAATTATTGGTAGCCAAATCTGTATCTAATGTATTAACAGAGTGATTTAATTAAAATTTATTGATATTGACTTATTTGAACAACATAATGATTTATGGTGTAATCTCTTACTTAGAAATGAAACAAATAAGTTTATTCCAATTTAAAAGGGATAGCCGATACAAATTACATTTATGGAGGCTCAGACTCGATAACCAGCAGGCAACCTGTTTGGAATGGTCCAAATAAATAACACAACCAGTTTAGATAAATTCTATCTGTAAATATTGAACGATATAAATTGTGCTTATCTTTTTGGAGAGGTACGATCGACTTACATAATTGCATTTCCTATTCGAACAATTTCAGAGATACCCGTAATTGCTGTACTGGTTTATACAACTAAATTTTATTTGATACATTTAGAAANAGGCAACCTGTTTGGAATGGTCCAAATAAATAACACAACCAGTTTAGATAAATTCTATCTGTAAATATTGAACGATATAAATTGTGCTTATCTTTTTGGAGAGGTACGATCGACTTACATAATTGCATTTCCTATTCGAACAATTTCAGAGATACCCGTAATTGCTGTACTGGTTTATACAACTAAATTTTATTTGATAAATTTAGAAAGTGCATACATAATTTCCTGATATGTACCTAAATCTTTGTTAGCTTATTTAAGCATATTTTATTGTTTACTCTTATGCATATAAGATTTAGGAGGTCTCTCACTAGATTATAATTTGATCTTTAATGTATGAGTTTATATTTCTAAAAACTGATTTGGTTTTAAAATTTTGATAATATTATTATGTATTTAATAATTTTTGGAACGAATTTCCTTATGGGACGATGCGGAGGGGTACCGACGCTGAAATAACCTCTCAAGGCTATCAGCTTAGTTAGGAAAAACAAGAGGGGTACACTAGCCGGGAAAAAACGTCCGTAACGTAAGATTTTTATTAGTAATGCACAAAGTGTACGACTTAACTTTGTAATAACGTACAAAAAATAACATATTTTTTTATCATTCATTGACCACGATCTCAAAGCGTTCGTTTGCGCAATACACTAACTCTTATGCAAACAATCATGAATGAAGTGTACCACAATAAGTTCGCACGTTACCGAATGACCGTGGGTTGTTGGGAAACCTCCAGTTTTATTTTCTTTATACCTCGAATAGAACTTAAAATTAATATTTTTATAATAAGGAACTGCGTTCCTATCCGGTGTCCCACGACACCACACATTTATTTCAAGTTAATCAAAAATAACACGAGTAAACACCATCGCCCAGCCTATTTCTGCCGCGCGTGGGCCAGTCGGGCGCGGGGAGTCGTACACGGGTCAGTCATTGTACTATAGAACTGAAACTCAAAACTCATGTCTTAAGCTGAGTGATGGAACTTATGTGAACAAACGAGCTCATGGTTGGCTTGTTGTTATGCGACTGAAACCCATTGACGCCAAAACCTTAATGCCGTCACTCATCTTTAAAAATGAAGACTAAATTTCATTTGTATTTTATGACGGCTGTTCCATACTTCAAGCCGAAACGCATAGCAACCTGGCGAAAAATTAGGCATGATTGCGGCTCCTTTGAGTTCACTTTACGTCCTGGCGCTACGGTCTAGCAACCACCGATCTGGTATTGACTATTTATATCCCCATACAGCCCACAGTCTACAGAGACCTTGGCTGGACCGATATCATTTAAGTCTTCCAATGGCCACTAACAAAGTCTTCTAACGGCTATGTATGACTGCTTCGCGGTACGTAAGTAGGATGATGGACAAAAATCCATGCGGGAATATAACATGCCCTATACTAAAAGTAAGTTGTATAGTGTACGTACATTTCAAGATTAGGTAAATCTTTTTTTTTTATATTTAGAATACATTCTCAAAATAACAGTATTATTATTATAGTGTATTAAACACTGCCATGCCTGGGAAGACGGCAGGACACACTCCGGCGAGGTGGGCAACAATCGGCCAGAGCGTTAGGGACTATTGGGACAGAAACCGGCGAACTATACTATATATATATACTATTATTATTATTATTATATTGCACACAAGCAATATTTAGAAAGCGTTAAAAACAGCACATACTTAATAATTTCGTTTTTAACCTTACTTAAAAATATTATATTATAAGAAATAATAAAAGAAAGAAAAACAATTTCCTAATACGTATTGCTAGAGAAACGGTATTAAAAGAGAAACGTCTTTCCAATATTTTTCCGCCGAATGTTCGAAAAAAACGGGCATTGTACTATCTTCAGTAACGAAATAAAATTCATTCGCAAATAGTGAACACATTTTTATGTATTAATAAATCGTCGTACTTTCCGTTAAAATCCTAACATATTTGATATAATTTCGATCCTTTCTTTTTTTTAAGCTTAGACACGAACCTTTTTCAAAGTTTTATAATTTCACATAACAAACAAGTGAAATCAAACATTAGTCAGCGATAAACACTGAATTAATCATAATAATTACCTACTGAATTGGATTTTATAAATATGTAACCGACTTTGGTTTTTTCTTGAAATTGCAACGATCATACAGCCGTTTTAAATTAAGCCTACGTTGGTCTCAAAAAGCCCCCTTCCCCAATCCCGTTGGAATATCTTTCTTTTATATACTATTGTTTCGTATGACTTAAATGTAATTATTTTTGTATTAACCAATCAACTGCTTAATTGGACGGTATTTAGGCGTAATTACAATATAAGTCATGTTTTACTGATTTTCCGTTTCGGTGACGATTTACTATGAATAAAATGTAATCAGTCCATTCGAAACTCACCTTTTGTAAGCAAGTAGCTCTGCATTGTGCCACTCGCAATGGAGAAGAGACCTCTTCTTCAGCGAACACTCCAATCCATGACATTACAAGTGATAATAAGGAGAAACTATACAAGAACATTTTGGCACACATTTTTCTTTGGTATCCCTCTATATAATACAAGTTTTGTTTAAAATCTTCGTTGATTGTATCCGTCACTTGAGTGTCAAAACGTAGGGCATTACGGATTCCCTATACTCGTTTATTTTCCCTATTTATTTGTTCTTCGTCACGATAACATCATTAGTCCTCAAGTTTTTCCTGACACCAATAACTGTACTCCAAGTTTAACAAACTTTTCATATCAATGGTAAATGTTTTTTTCAGCACAAAAACGATGATGAACGCACTTGAAAATAATTTTCACAGTTCGAATTGTTTCCGGCGAGTAAAAACCCGGGAGTCAACGCTCCGCCACCGCGGTCGAATGCGGACTAACCACCCCGCTTGAAGAAGCTCAGCTCCTCTCCCCTCCGTTAGTTAATTTTTATAGCCCTCTCGCTTACACATGGGAGCTTTACCTTGTCTCTTTCCTTCGCAGTACAAAGTACGCATTCATGTCTACTACTAAGTGTACCGCTCTATATCCTCTCTACTACTGCATATACGGTGTTCTATCTCGTTTCATCTCGCGCGGTTTCGCGTTGTTTTTCCTTTGATGCAGTTTAACGGATGGGAATGTAGTGGTTATTGTTAGACAAAGACGGTGGTAGTAAAATTTTAGGGTTGTTCAAAAGGGGTGACAAAGAATCGAACTAATTCAGGGCCCGCGTTTTTATGGCAGCTTGGTGGTAAAAGTATCCCGCCTCTCTCGTTTGTTCGACTTTATGGGTCTAGCAGCACGAAGCGATATTACTTAATGGCTGTTCCATCACCAATTATTATGTTTTCCGAATTACAAAAGTCTTTATAGTTCATTAATTTTATAATAGATTATAAAAGTTCGTATAAAATTTAACGCAGAGACACTGAAATAATTTTCTGTGTTTATTCCACTATATTTAGCTGTGGGATATTTTGATGCTATCAAATTAAGTTAGTATCCAATTGAATTTTTTTTTAATAGTACTCACATTGTGTGACTTATAACAATCTTGCTGAGAAACGCCCTTCCAAGACTGAGAAAAAGGATTAAAAAAGACCATAAGCATACGTTGTACGTGACAGCAAAAGCCTTCAGTCGCGGCATTTTTCGTTTTCTTCAGATACATTAGGCCCTTTCTATTCATCTTGCTGTCTTTAATCTTCCAGTCTGCAGCATGTCTGTCTAGACGGGTCCAACCTAACACGTAATTTGCATACGACAAAATCGAGATGTGAAGTTTTTAAATTCCTATTCTTATTATGTAATTGAGTAAGAAGTTACTGTGCGACTATTGGGTGTTTTAATAGTAAAGTCTTACTATAGGTATCAAAAGAGAGAGTAAGGAATTAATTACTAAATAACGCCTACGCCGACGGAGAAGAGTTCATCCATATTACCTGAAGCCACTGCGTTAATCGACAGTGCGTTTCCAAAGATCTTTTGCCACGTACCAACCGGCTTTGGAATGAGCTCTCCTCTACAGTGTTTCACGAGCGCTATGACAAATCCATCTTCAAACGAGGCTTGTGGAGAGTACTTAACGGTAAGCAGCGGCTTGGCTCTGTCCCTGTCATTGCTGAAGTCCATGGGCGACAGTAACCAGTCAGAAACAGGTGGGCCACATGCTCGTCTGCCTACAAGGGAAATAAAAAAAAATCAACAAGAGATCTCAGAGCTTTATACCAGGATATTGCGATTTCAAAACGGCCCTTTGGATAGTCAGACGTTTAGGACAATTGTGATGTCGATAAGCTCAGACACGAAGTGACCCGACCACTCGTCAGCATATCTTACAGTAGTTTTTTTTCACTCTTGATAGATGAAAGAGCCTATATCTGGCCACTTTGTTCCGTTGTAGTCATTCTTTCCAGTTTGCAGAATGCCACAGATAAGAGACTTCGATCGCGAATCTCAGAGTCGTTCTAAGCTGATCTAACCACGTGAATTATAAATAAATAAATAAATGGAACTGTCAATAATCTTTGACATTCCGTATATTGCTACAGGCAACAGCTAGCTGTCATCGCTCTTGAATTTTCACAAGGGAAGTATGAAAATTTCACGATGTATTGGAACGTTGTGCTTAGTATTATTTAGCCTCTCGCACATGACATACGTACATACGTACCGCTGGACCATGACCACGCAAAATATATTAGATAACGTGTAATGGAGTATTTAATAAAAAAATAATCCTCAGTTGCAATACCATGTTACGTAATACGTAATATGCTCAACATTGATGAAATTTATGTACATGCTTAAAACACATTCTGTACTCATACAGAATTCAGCAATTAGTTAGTTAACTTTGTATTGCGGGCATTAAAATCTTCACCATCGCTTATTAGCATCAGCACTGTTATTAGTTCACCGAAGCCTAGAACACAAACCTTGTTTTAAGAATCAAATGTTATTGTACCCAGGAAATACCGCGGAAGGAAGTTTATTCCATATTTCGAAGTAAGTCACGAAACCCATTGAACAAAGTATAGGTGGCTCAAAAAAAAAGTTCTATGCATTCGTTTTTTTTTTTCGTAGCTTCTAATTTGGTTGTATTATACAATTTACAGATTAGAACCAAAAGTTAAAAAAAATACGTAGGCGCCATCAATAACCGAATAAAGATTCAAATGCGATATCTTAACCGTTGATCTAGATAGCACGGACAAAAACAATTAGTCATTTTGAAAGATCTGATGTAATTAATATTCGATATTGTCGTGGAACAAAAGCTTTTTACTGTCGTCAATATCTCAGCACTCAGCTTCGGCTCTCAATAAAAAAACTACTGCAAAATCACGAACCCTTATTTGCAACGTCTGGGCTTACAAGGCACAAACTCGTCTATATCGTTGACAAACTGACGACCGAATTCTGTAGTTTACAACCTGCCATGACAACCGCCGCATTGTCGATTGCTGGAAGGTACTGCGGTCTCGTAAAACTGGGGATTCGATATCCGAAGGCCGTTTTCGTGGCGTGTACAGATAGATAGCAGTTTATTGAGATTAAGTGATTATAAATCATGTCTTTCTGTCGCACGCAAAATATATTTATGTCCGTTACATGTAATTTGGGTGTATTTGTTTTATGCTTTTTCTGATGTGTGCACTAAAGCTACCATAGTTAAAAGACACCACAATGTTAATGTGCCGCCTTCGGGAAAATCTCAGCCATACTGGCTAACAGAAATACCGGTAATTTAAATATATGTTAGGGAGGAAATTAAGGAAAGTGAGATAGTACAAAAGATATACATAGGATCACTGTAGGTTGATTTTGGTAAAGTAGGTATTGTAGTATTAGTAGCGTCAGAAAGCGAAACTCGCAAATATGAACAGAATGACTGTATTTGAACTAAAAATGCAATACTCCGTTTTATCAAAACTGTCATGATTTATCATGGTTGGTTCGTGTTAGGCACAACGCAGATAATTTTTAATTTAAATTTTAAATTTAACTGTAACTAGCTTTTAAAATATTTGTTAGTGCAATATAATGCACACATCGGTAATATGCATACCGCATGCATACTGCAAAAATGAGTTTTTAAAAAAACACGTCTCGTCGATAGAACAAACTATGGATTTAATGTCATAAGAATATTTATCAGCGTTTGTAGCGTGCACCTAAGAGCGTGCCACTAAATAAGATTACACTACATTCGAATTGAAAGATAACTAACTGTTGTGTTTTTCCTTCCCTCACTTCCTATGCACAGAACTAACGCCGAGGAGAAACCAGGACCGCAATCCTGCACTTCTCCATTGATTTTACGAGAACTGCGAAACTATGCGAGCCGACACTCTGTTGCAATTAAAACTTTCATCGACTTTCATCGACAAACTGCAATCTGTTATTTTTTGGAATGAAGCTCCTTATGGGACGATGCGGAGGGGTACCCTAACCGGGAAAAAACGTCCGTAACGTAAGATTTTTATTAGTAATGCACACAGTGTACAACTTAACTTTGTAATAACGTACAAATTAGTAATGCACACAGTGTACGATTTAACTTTGTAAAGTAGTTTTTATTTTTATTTTTATCAATAAAAAAAATCATAATAAAAATGTATACCTGAATAATTATTTCTTTATACCTCGAATATAACTTAAAATTAATATTTTTATAATAAGGAACTTCGTTCCTATCCGGTGTCCCACGACACCACACATCTTTTTTTACAACGTAGATGGGTGAACGAACTTATGGCCCACCTGGTGAAAAGCGGGTACTAGAGCCGATAAGCATCATGAATACTGCCATGTATTTTGAAATATGCCGTCTATATTATTATTCTTTAGTATGACTCATCCACCCTCCAAATAGGATGGTACAATTGCTATGTTACTTCATTATCAGCCCATATTGGTATTCTGAATTTGATCATTTTGTAATATTGATCTCAGTTGACATAATCCGGACTGTATAAGTAATCACAATTACCTTATTCAAAATTAAATTTTAAAATTAAAAGTGTTAGTTTTAATCTTTAAACATTCGTTTTTAAATAGATAACCATCGATGATTTTGAAACCTCTAAACATATAGTATCTTTTATCAAAATCGTCTAAAATCTACAGCAACCTAAATAACATGCGATTCAACTAATTTTCATTTAAACTTGCATAAGCTTCATCTTGCCTTGAAGTAAAAAGCAGACCATTCCAAAAATTTTAATCTAAGCCATCTCCAAGGCTTGCTATTCGACATCGTCATCATAATAATGCATACTTTCGTTTATTTCTTCAGACTCAGCATTTTTATTTTACCCGTTCTGTCCGCTATACTGGCGCAGATCATCATACTTTAGAGAACACAATAAAACTCTTATTGTCATTCTTATAAAATTATTAAAAAATTTTTTTAACTTGAATTATCCAGTCAGATTTATCTAATTAATACGATTGTTTTATCACTTATTAAAATAAACACATTAAAGTAATGAATAGAACAAATTTTATTAAACTTGCAAGAAATCACAAATATAGTATGGTGAACTTGTTTTTTTTTTCCAAAATGACAAAATAAAAAAAAAATGTTTTGGTATTTTGTTACTGTTATGAGAAATTACGTTATGTTCATGGTTTTTTCCTACCTCAATTCTTAAATTTTAATATAAAAAGAGAATAAAATATATTAATAGTTCTGATTAATAAACATACTAGATTCGGAATAAATTTAAAAAATAATCTTCACTACAAAGTACAATGAATATTTTTCTACGTCGCAGTACTCTATGCCTAGAAATGTACTGTTAAGAAGATGGAACTGTAACACCAAAGAAAGAACGGAACCATTTTTCTTTATTTAACTATTTTTATAATATTATT